GGCCTCGAGGCAGGCGCGGCCGCGCTCGGGCGGGGGGGCAGCACGAAGCCGAGCCGTGCAGCAAGCTCCCCCTCGAAACTTGCAGGGGTCCGACGGCCCGCTCGGGTCACCAACATGCATAATGGGCCCCATGGGGGGCTCCCGCCTGAGACTTCCTCGCAATTCACTCACGAACGGAGCTCCCGCCTGGGACCTCCTCCAAAGTCAAACCTGAGGAGCCCAAAAGTGATGACAATTGCAAGGTTCCGATGGCCCGCTGGGAATACCAACATGAAGAGCGGACCAAATAATCATATGGAGGGAGCTCCCGCCTGAGACTTCCTCGAACGTCACTCACGAAAGAAGCTCCCGCCTGAGACCTCCTCCAACTTCAAACCTGAGGAGCCCAAAAATGATGGCAAATGCAGGGTTCCGATGACCCGCTGGGATTACCAGCATGAAATGCGGACCCAATAATCACATGGAGGGGGCTCCCGCCTGAGACTTCCTCGCAATTCACTCACAGACGAGGCTCCCGCCTGAGACCTCCTCCGAAATTCAAACCTGAAGAGCCAGACAGCGACGACAGATGCAAGGTTCCGATGGCCCGCCGGGATTACCAACATTAAATGCGGACCCAATTATCATATGGAGGGGGCTCCCGCCTGAGATTCCGTCACAATTCACTCACACACGAGGCTCCCGCCTGAGACTTCCTCACAATTCACTCACAAACGAGGCTCCCGCCTGAGACGTCCTCCAAATTCGAAGCCCGAGGAACCAAAAATGACACCGTTGCCAAGCTTCGATGACCCGCTCTGAACACCAGCATAAAGCGCGGGCCACACAAGGAGGGGGGTCCCGCCTGAGACTTCCTCGCAATTCACTCACAGAAGAGGCTCCCGCCTGAGATAGGGCTACGAGATCTATACATATCCACTGCTCCTGGCCAGGCCCATCCTGGGCCCGGGAGCGGTGCATACGCCCTCGTGGCCTAGCCAGGGGGGACATATACACCGCTCCTGGACCCAGGATGGGCTTGGCCAGGAGCAGTGGATATGTATAGATCTCGTCGCCCTATGAGACTTCTTCCAAATTCGTGCTTGAAGAGCCCAACAATAGCGACGGCTGCACGGTTCCGATGGCCCGCTCGGATTGCCAACATGCACTGCGGGCCCCAGAGGGGAGGGAGCTCCTGCCCGAGACTTGCTCGCAATCCGCTCACAGACAGGGCTCCCGCCTAAGACGTCCTCCAAGTTCACGCCCGAGGAGCCCAAAAGCATGCAGTTGCAGAGTTCCGACGACCCGCTCTGAATACCAGCATCAAACGC